GCAAAAGAACACTGTGTGTGAGTCTCTCGTCACTCAGTAAAACGTTCCAACGCGGGGAATTTGGTGAAGCGAAAGTCGAATATATAAAGAAAAGATCCGAATTCATCCTGGTGTTTATTTTCGGAAAGGCCGTGATGCTGAATATGCGGTCGTAAATCTTACTGTTCGTTAAGTTTCGTCAATTATGAAAAGTATCCTTGGGGGTTCGCCCGTACACGGACAGTTTTGTCATCGCGTTTTTATTGCGGCCATCTGCTCAAAAGTTTGCCACGTTACTGGCACCAGAAAGCCACCCGAAAAAAATAACTGTTATTTCACACGTGCATACGTTATATACCAGTACACGTGCAAACGAACATAATTATACTGTCAATGAGGCAGTCCTTGCCGCTTCCTTAATAGTTAGTTGTGTGCTGTTAGGCTTCTAACAGTGCCGTGGTATCAGTAACCGGTAACCACTCACATCGCCTCTGTGGGCGGCTTGCATCACAACAATCTCGTATGTTTTTATAAAGAGCAAGGCAGCAGGCAGTAAATTTGTTCACTTATAAATGATGGATTTAATTTACGGTGAAATGACCGATTTTGTGTGGTCCGCTCGAAACTTTGAGCAGGCGGTCACTATTTCGACGTTACAGGATTTGTACAGAGATGCAGGCCACTACTGCGTATGTTTTCCCTGGAGTATTGGTTGATCCATTCCATATCCCGGAAGCTGTCCTTATACTGTATTGCAAACTGCAGATTAGATATTTATTGGCGGGCATTTGCGATTCCCCGATGGAGCCTGGCATGTATTTCACCATCAGGGTGCAGCTGTTATAAGCGTGTACATTTCACCATCAGGGTGCAGCTGTTATAAGCGTGTACACAGTTCACCGATCATGCTGACGGTGACCATTTTGTTTGTGCGACAGTAATCAAGTAATGCGAATTACCTGTGATTAACGATTAACTACGCCTTCCGCTCAAGCACAAGAATTATCTCACCACGCCAGCTAAGATCCATGTGCTGCATTATAAACCACCAGGATTTAACTGCAGCAGACATTTTCTTCCACCATGGCACCATATTTCGTCGGTAAATGCGTCATTCTCACCGTAGTTGCAACCTGCACATATGGTATCAGCATGAGTTTCCGTAAACTGCGTCAGCCATCATCGGACACCTCGGCCCTCATTTACACTGAGCTGGCCATTATTCCGCGCAGTTTTGTACGATGGATGAGGATGTTCGGCTTATTCGCCTATCCGACATGCTTTATCTTCCATAACCAATGTGTCAAATCATCACGATTCCGTGTAGAGCGGTTGTTTTGGCTGGTGTGGACGGCGGTATTCTGGTTTGTGCTGATGCTGTTTTTCCTAATGCAGGAATACGATTACTTCAAGCGTGTATCGTCATTATTGGTGGATCTGGAGTTCTTCACACTGATCGCGTTTGACTTCAAATCGGTGATGGTTTTGCAGGGTCCATACATGGTAACGTGCATGCTGTTTATCAGCAGCCGCATTCCGGAGATCACGACCGATGCGCAAATGACGCTGCGGCGTTTATTTAGGAAACGCGATGTCATTCGCTCACGCCGGTATGTAATACTGATAATCACGTTAACCGCCGTTTCCATTGGTGTCTGTGTCATCGGGAAATTATTGGGATGATGGCGCTTACCCGCGCTAAATACTACGAATCAGGTGTCAGGTCGCCCTACTTTTTTAACACCCTAAGCGTGCACCCGGAAATCCATTATACGACTCATCTCATCGGCATTTTTTTAACCGTATCTTGCGAACTTCTTCCATCAGCCCTCATATTAATTTTTATGGTTTACTTCTATGCCGGTTTTGAACGGCTGAACCGTCGACTGACGGATTGGTGCCGTGGTGAGCTGGAAGTGGATGCGCTCCGGCTGCGCCAGCTTTTCCATTTGCACAACAAACTGACCGTGATGGTCACCCAGTTGGGGCGGGCGTTTGGGCCGGTGGTGTTGGTGGGATGTTTGAAGGACATTTTCACGTGGGCGGCGTTGAGTGGCACATTGCTGCAAGTCCCTAAAAGAGAGTGGAAGGACACGGAGCGGTTTGCCCAGGCCCTTACGTACATAAATAACATGGAGGTGTGCACGATAACCTATACGGCCGTGGGATTATGTAATATGGTCGTGCGGATGGTGGTCTTCTTGGCCGTGTATGATCAGGTTGGTACTGTATGTGCTTTCATATTTTCAGCATATACAAAAACAGCTATTAAAAACTTAATATACCGTACGAGGGGATAACAGTAGCGCATTTCTGCAATCCTTGTATTTCAGCCGGCTAGAGTATGACGTTGTAGGCTACAACGTCATACTCTAGCCGGCTGACGGCAGGAGGTACATGGATTACTGAAATACGTTGCGCTGATGTCTTCCCCTCGAAAATATTCTTAGTGCCAAGAGCGCTTCAAAATGTTTTCCAACACAACCAAATTATTGGCATTTTTTTATTCACTTTACAGATAGGTACAGGTTTGTTTTACTGACATATCAATCACCACTTGACAGTGCATAATAAGGAAAAGCACTGACGTCGAATTTTTATCGATGAATTATTCAGTTCTCAATAAATCCGTACGAGGCAAGCGGCAACTCTTTCCCTTCGCTTTAGTAAATTATATCACTTGATTTCAGCCGTTTCACGTCTTATCGTATTTATTGTGATAAGCGCTTACTGAGCCGGCGATAAAATTCGCCTGCCGTGCTCTTCTCTATATTCTTTATCAATTTGCGTAATCCACTATAGCCGCAAACGGGTTTTCACGTGAGCGCCTGCACACGGGTAACATCACGTGAGCGCCTGCACACGGGTAAGATGCAGCAAGGAAAGTGATATAATTTACTAAAGCGAAGGGAAAGAGTTGTCGCTTGCCTCGTACAACCAACAGCGGGCTCATACAGATATAACTTGCTTTGACCATCCGCAAATATCCGATGTGCATTATTTCGTATTGACGAGCCTGGTGAATATTGTGCAGAATAAGCTACCTTGTATTTGAACAACAAATCTGACGAAAATTAGTGGGGTTGCGTACCATGTAAACGTGTGGTTGCACCTTTTAAAAATTTTTACGTGGCGCGAGACTACTTAACTTAACGATTCTGTAATATCAAACACCATGAAAAAGTTACCCCTGATAGCTTTAGTCACTGGAAATTTTCTAGCTGTTCCAAAGCGAGAGAAATTACCGTAATTATTGAATTTGCGGCTCCCCCGCAATAAGAGCCCCCCTCCCCCCACTGTAGTAAGCGCCCCTGCCCTACCCTGTTTGAAAACTAAAACCAACCGCCGAAATTACGCCCCAGGGCGCCGTTAATAAATGTCCAGCGCTGCAGAATGGTAGGTGTACCGCAAATGCTTTATAAAATTTGTTGTGATTGTGAGCAAACACTTACCAGACATCAACATAATTCATGTACGTATATGCCCGAAAATGTTGCTGGGAAGGTTACGCTGTTTCGTGTAATAACTACCGTACTGCGTTCAGTTTCACTAGAACAGGATGCGCAGTTATTTAATTTGAAATATAATGCACCCTCCCAAAATATACCGTTCGAAAAATAATGTTACCCCCCGAAATTGCGCCCCCTCCCGAAATAAGCCTCCCTCCGCCATAGCCCTCGAACTATTTGTACCCAGGGCCACAGATTCGATAATTACGGTATTTATTTTGAAGGCGCAGTCCCCACGGACGCTCTTGACACGGATCGCGGCGGAGAGCAACGATACGGATGTCCTAATTGAATGCCATCGCTTAACGGTCCACATTAGTACGAGTGACGGTGCGCTGTCAATCTGCGGCTTGCTTCACCTAACCAAGGAGTATATTATTGCAGTAAGATAAGCTAGTGCCCTCAAGCCTATGAAAAAATAATTACATATGGAGGATTAATAATAAAATTAATATTAACTAATGAGAAATAATGCATGCCGAGTTTATTTGGAGATTTACTTTGTAACCTGTTTTCTCATCAAATTGAATATGCCTGATAAAAATCTCGGATTTCTTTTGAACTCGAAAAACTACATAAAAGACTAAATGCATTTTCAGCAATACATTTTGGTATTGAAAAGGTTGCTGGTTTGCAGTTTGGATGTTTGGCCGTGACCTATCTATTGCTGATCTATCAGACACGCGATTCCCGCAATGATAATGAAAGCATGAAGGAAATTCTCAAGCGGCAGGAAGTTTTGTTGAATGCTCTGTGGAACGCGTCCGCTCGGCCCGGTTAGCCGACACATTGAACCATCACAAAACAAAAGAAAACAATGGTGCTCTCATATCAGTTTATGTGCTAACATCATATGGTAATACCATGGCGGTAACTTAGAAGGCAATCACTCTTATTAAGCATCAATCGAGAGGGGCGGCCTAATTACAGAGAAAATTTGATCTAAATTTGCTCCCAATGGCGCTGTCCCCATGATCGATGCCGCATTTCCTCGTTGAATTTCAATGCTGATCCGTTGGCGAAGGTATTCCGTGGCACGTTTTTCGCCAGTTTCTTGTTGTATGAGCTGTCCAAATTCCGTTATCGTGCGGGCAGCTTCCGGTCCGGGCGGCCCGAGCGTTTCAAAACCCAGAGGACGGAACCAGTACTCTTGGCCGATATCGCGATATTTCTCGATCTTGCCCTGTTCGGCCTGTGCTGCTGCTGCTCCCGCTCGTGCGGATGTCGCAATAATATGCGATATGGCCATTGTGTTGACGCAAGTAGCATCCCATGCCAGCATTCGTCCTCTATCCCAAGGTGTCAAGGTAACTCCGTCTGGTCGCTTACTGTCTGTTGGAAAGATACCTTGCGGTTCCAGTTCGCTTTCGAAACCAGCAGATGCGAGGCTACGTTTCACAATGGCGTTCAGGCATTTATGTGTGGGGATTCGTCCTCGGCTTTTCTTGCAGCTTAGACCATGGTAGCCTCGAGCATCCGCCCATTCACCGCATACACAGCGGTGTGGGGTAATTACCGGTTACCCAGACGCAAACCAACGGCGATTCTTACCACGGAGTCCGTAAGAAGGTTGCCAAGGGAGGCAACCGGCAGCGCTCCCAACCATGCCCCATTTTCTTTCGTGCTCACACCTCTCAGCCTTGCCTGTTCGGAGATGTCATTCCCGGCTGTCGCTCGTAGCCGATCTGCGGTGTCGCGAATTATGGGATCGTCCCAAACTTTCTGGGTTGGTCGCGCGTCCAGGTGTGGGAGGTCATGTTGGGTTATTTGGAGCCATTGTGCAGTAGCATCACGACAGTAGACGTCCGGTTCGAATACAATAATTTCCGATGTTAGTGGAGCTACCGAGTAAGCTGAGGCCAGAAAGGCCGGGAGTGCAAGCTTCTCGACGCTTCGAATTCCGAGACCGCCCTCTACAATCGGGAGAGATGCCTGCGACCACATGTCATCAGTAATGTTAACGTTAGTAATAGAGGTGAGGCTTTGGCGTATTGTATCATCAAACTTGCTTAATAACATCTTTTGTTGATAGCATCGGCTTGCGCGCAACTTGTAGCTCAGCCTTACAGTACCCATGCTGCATCTCAGCAGGTAAAGGGCCTGATGGGCCGGTATTAGATTTAGGCGCTCCGTCATTCGGGCGATTACCTCCGTGGCACTGACGAGTGCGCCCGCAACCGCATCATCGTGAATTGGTGCACCGAGGTAATGCAGATCCTTCAGCTGGGGACATTGCAGGTCTGGAAAGGCATGGAGGAATGCATCATACACAGTTTGGCGTTCTGCCTCTGAGCCTCCGATCACCATCAGCTCGCATTTAGCTATGTTAAGCGTTAGCCCGCGTTCTCGTAGCGCTTCCTGAAGGGAGCAGAGGTCGTCAAAAGCATCTTCCGGGTCTCCGCCCAGCGCATCATCGTCCAGAAAGCTTTCTTTCAGCTTTGACTTCAGGCGTTTGTGTGGTGCGATAGTCGCAAGGCAGTACAGTAGTGGGCCGAGGGGGTCCCCCTGTTGGATGCCCGCCTGTGAAGATACGGTGTACTTGCCGTGTAGCAGTATTGATGGTTCACCGTAACACTGCCACACAAACTTGTAGTACTCCGGCATGAATTCTTCGGCACATTTTAGTATGTAATTTCGGTCTAGGGAGTTGAAAGCATTCTTGACATCTAGTTTAAGGAAAACCTGCGGCTTGTCCAACATCGCAGCATGCTCGATGAAGTAGCGTGCGTAACAGCGGCTTCCACACCTCCTTTCGTTGCGAAACCCAGCTGGATGGGTTGCCAATCTTTACTTAAATGGCGTAATCTGAAAATCACAATACGACAAACCAAACGGCGCAAGCTCGTTCCCACTGCAATGGGCCGGATCCCATTATCTTTCTTCTTGAAGGCAAACAGGTTTCCACCATAAAATATCGGGATTACGTCCTGGGGCACAGCCCCCTTCAGCATTATGTTGGCAACAGCAGCTAATGATTCACTTAACTTTTTACCCAATTCTTGGTGTTTCAAACTGATCAGCTCCTTCAGATATTGAGGTCTCAATCCATCAGGGCCAGCTGCCGATCCATTCGGGAAGGCACGAATTGCTTCCACAATTTCTGCCGGAGTAATATCGAGGGCTGTCGGAGTTGCGGGTCCCGGAGGCGGGTGACATATCGGTGGGTTCGAAGGGTGCTTCTCCATCAACGCAGCGAAGGTCTCTGGCGACGCGGGCACAAACTATATGGCATTATATATACCATGGCATTATATATACACCTGCACAAACTATATATACACTTCAATATCTATATACTACTACGCATACACTATGTTTACACTACGCTAGTAATAATTTGCCATGGTAATACTTACTTAATATGTGGTATAAAGTGACTATACACCGCTAATTTACCAAAGTGACTCACTAATTGCACTATTTTGAATACCTTATTTGTTTGTTCGTACCTGCAACAAGGAAATTTTGGCACAGCCTTGCAAATCACTAATCAGTAGCTGACTGTAATTTTAATATGCTGAATGATGTGGCTGTATTCGGAGCCGAACACTGACGGACTCTACTGTTCTTCTACTGGGTAGTTGGTGAAGCTGATTCGTCTTAACAGACTCTTCAACACTTCGTTATGAGGGCCTTTGAGGGCTGGAAACGCATTTCCCAAGCGACGAAGTTCGACCTCTCTCATTGCTCGATGTTCCTCTACTGTAGTTCAAACCGACCATAAGCAAGACTTCATGAATGAAATAACGTACAGCCTGGTTCAGTCGTTCTAACGTTATACAAATAATATTATGTGCTAGTAGACTCTGTACGTATAACACTGGAGCGCGATATTGAGCGCATAAACTCTTGCAAAGAATTCAGTCGTTAAATAAGAGATTTCCTGTACTTCTGTTTGTGCACATAAGGGCTGAAATTTCCCGCATTCAAAAACATAATACAAAAAGTAGTAGCGAAAAGTAAGTCAAAGGAATCAACTACGTAGCGAAAAGTAAGTCAAAAAAATCAACTTTATACATACAGAAGACGAGCGATTGTTATGTTGCTCATGCAGTGCATGTCGTATTTAAGTAGTTTAACGCTGCGAATTTCGGCCGTATGTCGATCAACGAAAACCTCGATCGCACGACACTGACCTTTCCAAAGGCGACGACTAAAAGAACTGGGAAAAAACTATGATTCATAAGAAAAAAGAAAATCTAAGAAAACTAAGACGGCCTTGACAAACGCTACTTCGACTTCGTGATGTGTCGACTTCAGCATGGTGACGTGTCGACATCATGTCTGCTGGACTAGTGTCGGTCGGCGAATTTCTGTCGACCAAATAATGCGTCGGTTCAATGATAAAATTCAGTAGATGGGTCGCGACCGCGGACAAACTGGTTGAATTCTATTTATTTTTGGCTTGCACTGTAATAAGTGTGCTGGAAGATTGGCAGTTGATGCAAGGTCTGAGTTTGCTGAAGCGGGCCGTGTTTAGTCGTTTGCAGAAACTAGGGTTTAAAAATGATTACCAGCTCTTTTATTGCAGGAATACTTCTACATGGTCGTTTAACTCGTTCGAAATCAAACCGAATTGTAAGTGGAGCTCAGGTTTTTAGCTTATAGGGTAACTTATTATTGGCAGGTTTTGAAGAGATATGTATAATATTATATATAAGTTTTTATTTCAAGTTTTAATATTACATGTATTGAATGGATATCCGCGCCTTATACGTTCAAGCGGCGAATGTATGAGCAGGTAGGGGCACAGATTGATTTGACTTTTAAAAATCACATTAGGTACAGTACAAGGCGCTTTTGGGCCACTTCAGCAAACGCTCTCAGATTTTCTGCAGGGCAACAGTATTCTGAATTTTCGAAGTGCGCACAATGCAGCCGATGTTTCATAAAACTTCGTCCTCTCCGTTGCAAAAATTTTGGAAAAAAAAAACAAATATGTAAATCCAAAAATTTATGAGAAGATCGGCTTTATGAACATGGTCTGGACAAGGCTACAGATGGTCGGCACCCGCGGACACCTTTCCATCCTTATCACTGTCCCTTTTGGGTGACTGTCGCACTCCTGTAAACATCCAGCGTATTAACTGTAATCTAAGAGACGAGTAAACTTTCGTTCTGATTGAAATACCTTTGCAAGTAATTGTTTGATAAAACTCCTTTCGAAACCTCGCGCTCATAATGTTATACAGGACAGGGTTTATTGCCGAGTTGAGATAAATAAGGGTTTTGGCGAATAAGGAATACCATTCGTTGTGCCAGGGCGTGGCCGCAAAAGTGTTGTACAGAAGCAAACCACGAAACGGGAGCCACGTAGTGGCAAATACCAATACAGTCGCGAAAAACATCCGCACAACCTACAAAGTCCTTTCTCAGTGTGACGAATTCGTGGGTTATGGCCTTATGGGTCTTAGGTCACCAGGGGTTGCTTACGTGTTGTCGTTATCGAAGTGTTTTTTGTGCAAGTTCCCATGCTTACCTGCACACGTTCTTTGATTTGTCTGCGCTGGGACGGTGTTGATCTGCATAAATAGCTGTGGCCGTTGCCAATTATTATATGAGTGCTGTTAGTCTTATGCAAAATGGCCTTCTCCGACTCTTGTTCGTCGGTATGTCGTATCGTTGACTCTCTTGTGATTTTCCAGTCTTCAGCCGTACGGATCGATGCACCAATGCTCGCTTCTCGTTTTCGTAGCGTCTCGTGGATCCTTATATAGATTATCACCGCCGCCAATAGTGGAGTGAAGTAAAATAATAACAAATCTGCTCCAAAGAAAATCATGTAGTACGTCCGGGTTAGGCGAAAGTCGCAGATCTCCCGATCTGTGCCTTCGAGGGCTTTTGCTTCGGTCAGACCCAGCCAGGGTGAGCAGTAAACGGCGGCGGCGACCCATAAGCAGATGATGATCTTGCGCGTGCGCTCCACGGTGCAAACACTGCGGGATAACAATGGGCGGCAGATGGCAAGGTAACGCTCCAAGGTCATCATTGACATGCTGAAAATAATATCTTTAAATGCGTGCATTGCGGACACGTGAGATCTGTTAAAATAAACGTTGAACAGGTACAGGGCACAGGGCCATATTACGATGTTATATTTTGAGGTAGCTTGTAAAGGTCGAGAAATGGATGTTTGAGGCAGTTAACGCTTATGCGAACAAGATATGTGTACGTACTATTGTACAAACCATAGTGGATGCAAATTAGAACTAGCGGTGGTTGCGAACCACATCGTGGCACGAGCGCGAGCGCTGTAGCCGCTAGGAAATGGTATTGGGATTGTGGAATTGAAAAAGTGTGATGTACTCGCTTGGTGGCGTCGGACACCCCTGCTGTGGGGCGTGATGCTCTGCTATGGAGCGTGTAGTCTTGACGAAGGCTTAATTGCAGTACCTCGCGCTTTGCGCTCGGTGCCAGTTTGTACTGCTTTCAGACAGCATCTAAGTGAATGAAGAAAGATAACGAACGAAACAGGCTTATATCGTAATACAGAATATTAGCTAAATATCAGGTTTCTGTTGCTCCTGGTATGTAACGCTCAAGCTTTCTTGCAGCTACGTCTACGACTTTATATTATTGTGCTAAGAGAACAGCAAACTTTATTTTGTAAAGTTTATGGATCTACGGTACTCCTTCGTCGAGCAACAGGGAGCGCAGTGTTGGGTGTTTCAGACGTATGCAGCGAATAGAAAGTGATCGACACCATGTTTGACAATTGACACCCGCTCTTATATTGCAATGTACCTGGCGACTCCGGCATTAATCCCGAAGAAATTGAGGAAAACGAACACGGAGCAGCCCACCTGGCCAAGAAACCAGAGATTTCCAAAATGATGCGCCACAATGGCTTCCGGAATGGCCGTTAAACAGACCAGTAGATCAGCATAGGACATGGACACCTACGAAAATTAAAAGCATTACCGACAGAATAAAAACAGGAATTGGTTCATCTTCAAAGAATATCACTCTTTAAATATTAGAATCATTAAGTGCAGCTTGGTATGCAGTTCGTTCCTTTCATACCATTCGGTTTATTACTGAGAATTTCATTCATTTCAGTACTGCGCACGCTGTATGGGTGTGCAGCAGTGGTGACGCTAATTACGTAGATACACCGAGCGTTAAGACTCAGTTATTTATGCACCGAACAACAGCTATAACGGACTGCAAAATGTTTCGACGATCCTTGTCGGATGAGTGTTTCAATTAATTTTTCTGGTGAAGTGCTATAATGGGTTTACTGAACTGGCAGTAAATAAAGTAATGGCACAGCGCTTGGCTTAGCTGCATGATAAAATTATATTGTCGTTTCCATGAAATTCCGAGCGCATAAATATGTTCAGCGCACAGCTACATACTTTATGAGATAGCTGCCGGCAGACAGAAAACTGGTGAACGTGTTCGATAACTTCCGCTTTCGCGCACTCCTGATCAACTTTTTGTTTTTTGATCTTGGCGTAGCCAAATGATTATTATACATATGCGTAAAAATCGCTTGTTCGCGCAAAATTATTTTGGTGAAGGATTTACAGGCTGACTCAAAAACAAACCCATGACTTACAAAATACCCAGTGCCATGGTAGTCCTATACTATTAAGGCAAAAAAGCCCACTTCCGGTGCTACGTCACGATTAGCACCAGCGCAATGCCAAACCACCCACCAGCGCAATGCTTTACGGTCCGTAGGCTCTAAAGACTGCTATAATTAGCGCTTTGAGGTTTGTTGAAGTTCAAGGCGAGTGACATACAGCTTAGAAGACAGAAAAAAATTTTAAGATTTCTGATGTGTAGTTTGTGTGGAGTTTGGACTGACTGCAGGTTTCAGAAGGGTTCCGGAGTTTCTGCAGTTTGCTTACAACGGTCGTGCGGTCTGGATCGACCGTTGCATTGACGTTGTATGTTAACTCGATTTGCTTTCTAAACGTTTTAAAAGCTTCAGTTCGCCCTTTCTGCTGAAAACGTTTGCACTAGAAAACGTAAAATCTTCTTGGCTTTCTTCTGAGCTACACCACGCTAATTTTGTTGCACGATAAAGCGAAACAGGTTTACCATACCACCCATAGAAGTATGTGGCGCATACCCAAGCGACTTGCAATAGTACTGTCCAATCGAATTCGCTGTGCTGCCTTAATAGTATTGCACTGCCTTGCCAGTGCTATGAATTTACCGTCAGAGGTCATAGTCAATTCTTACAACATACAATTAGTTCATTAGAAAATCAGGCCATTATTTTAATCTTCAAATTGTGGTAGTTAGGCTCTACCTGTACCTTTACATACTCAATTTGTAGACCGGCTATGAATGTAATTATGCTATGCCATCAATTTCCATGTACTGGGGCACGCTCTTGGCCGCCTTATCGCCGGCATTCCGATCCTCTAGCCGTCCTGCAGCAACGAGTTATGGCGCTCGTGACAGTTGATTCCACCCTGACGGAAAGCCGCCTGTCTTCCCCAGTTGGTAAGTACTGAGCAGCATCAGATTCCGTCTGATCTGCTCTCTCGGTCCTCTGATTAATTTGCGCAACCGAGTGCGGGTTTAAGCTTTAAACTCAACGACCATCACTTGCACGATTTAAGTTTGTAAGAGCCAGAGGAACAGAACGCCTGCTGCACGACCAAGATAAAAAGCATTATCATGAACCTGCATTATCATGTACCTCCATGCGCCGAAACTATCAAATGTGTATATACGAGTATACGCTGCAGCTAAAGATATAAACTGACTAAAGAAAAAAAAGTTAAAGATAAACCATCTTAGTCGAAGAAAGTTGAAAATTAAAGTTGCAGATAAACTAGTTAAAGGCAATTTAGGTGAAGATAAAGACAAAAATTGGCCACCTTTTAATAGGCAGCCGCATTCATACATACTTGCTATATGCACCTTCTCTGCTACTAACTATTAAAGTGACTTAAACACGCGCTTGCGTACGCTGTTGTCTTTTCAGTTTTAAGTTATTGGAGAACAAGTGAGTAAAAATTACGATGCAAGCAGGAACGCTGCACTTTAACCCAGTGCCAGTGGCGTGCTATTCCTAGTACGAGTACCGAATGTGCAGGAAAAAACATAATAAGATTAATCGATCAAAACTTCGGATTGACGTTAACTCAGGTTGCAGTCTAGTCAACATAAAATGGTAATAAAAGAGTAACAAAGCCACAGACTTTCGCCGCCCATTTAACAGAACTGAAGCAATAGGATTATGGGATATATCTTTCTATACCACAAAAAGCCAAAAACTGCAATTAAAGAAAGCAATTGGCCAGTGCTTACTCGGCCGGGACTCAAGGGAATAACCTTAATGTTCCGTTAAATGTCAGGCGTAGCAACATACAAGTCAAAACGGTTTTGTAGGAAAACCAATCTGAGTTAGAATCTGTCCGCTGACGGCATGCCGTAGCGATCAGCTACTATTAAGTACCCTGCAAATAGGCGCTTACCAAATAAGTATACATAGGCTGTTTAAGAAACTTTGATTTATGTGCCACCAGGACAAGCAGGACATTGCCAGACACTCCCAGCAGGAAAATAGCTAAATGCATCGTGGTGGCAATAATGCGAAACGACGGTGTCATCCCATTAACCGGCTCATCAAATGGATACACATCCCCGGACAAGTTGAAAAACATATTCATATTTTCTGACAGAAATTGTGATAACCGAATTTCGTCGTCGCCTGAGAGGTTAGCCAGGTGATAGTGCATTCGTAACAGGATGTCGCGCTCTTGTTCCGTTAAAATTTCTGTCAGGGATAGCGTGCCAAAATTCGGCTGAGCTGAATATACCGACAGAAAGCCGAATATTACTAACAGATAATAATATCTGCTACAAATACAATGCCATACTACCGCAAAAACGCTCATTTTTAAAAATGAGTTGACACTATAGTTTGCGCTTCTTTTGGTCTTCCCAGCCTGCTCGGGTAAAATCGCGCCGGATGTGCGGAACTAATAAGAGACAGATAAAGAAGCCATGCTAATCTATCAGTGGGCTATATAGGCGCGGAAATTACTTGCCACATTGTTTGTGACGCGGGACGGATTAGACGAGCCACAAGACGGCAGACAAAGCTAGCCCACCCGTAATGCGAGCCAAGGAACGCGGGTATTCTAATCCGAAGTATTATGCAGCAGCGTATCGGGTTCATCTTATTGATTTTCTGTTAAGTACTGTAATCCATCGCTGAGTTCGTTGTAACGTCAGCTGATTTTACGCCAAAGATGGTGTGATTCCAGCTTGGACGTATTTCCCGTTAGATAGCCAACCGCGGCGCGCACCTAATACAAGCTGCTATTGCTGAGTATCCGAAGCGCAGAACAGCAAATCCAGTATTTTTTATTGCCAAAAAATTATAAAAAAAGAAAATGAGTGAACAGCCATAAAAAATACATAAATACATGGTTTTCCTTGGCTATGTACTTACCCTCTGCATTGGCTTGAGTGAACGTAAATCCCACTCATTATTATGTACAGTGGAACCTCCTACTTTGAACACCTCCGAACGCTGAACACCTCTGAATCTTGAACAACTTTTTTCGTACCGGCGCTTCTCGTAATTTATAACATTAGGGGGGACCTCTGAACCCTGAACACCTCTGAACCGTGAACACGCGGCTATGTACCACAGTATGTTTTCTAAGTAAATTAGACCTCCAGATATGAACAGAGCAGCTCTGCAAAACACCCGGGAAGATAAATTATTCAAGGTGTTCACGTAGATCTTTCGTAACCATTCCTTTGCCGTTTAGTAATTTTATTTCGTGGACAGGTTTTTAGGTTTTAAATGAACATCAGGGCAAGAAATACGTCCCGGACAAGTTGACCGCTGCTTCTTCTGATAAGAAAAATTCTATCCTCGATAATTTTTCGACCGACGAATATGAAAATTTAATTTTTTAAAAATTGTGTTGCCGTGTTAACCTGTTGTCTTGCCCAACACGGCACGAATCATAGATTATGCTTATTAGCTACATTATGCTTTTTATTATTGCTACATACAAATTATATAAAGCCAGGGGCTACCCTAAGAAAGTCTCCGCCCCTGGGGGCAGTACCTCTGAACCACGAACACCTCTGAACCCTGAACAAGAAAGTGCGTACCGAGGGTGTTCAGGGTCGGGAGGTTCCACTGTATAAGGCAATACCACTGCCTGCTGATGTATTGAGACTAATTCGCTGAACGCCAAAATCAAGAGTGCAGCGCAAATTTCCCGCAGTGGGAAAATCAGTTAAAGTTGCACTGATTGAATAAGGCAAGTGCCCGTCACAGGCAGGCGAAATGTCGCATGTCGTATGTGAGATTGTAAGCAATGCGCAAATTAACAGAATCATCGTGCCTTTCGAAAAGGTTGTGCTTATAGCAGAAGCTTTTGCTTTACCGTCGTATCCACTGGACTTTTCCTTTGACGTACTGAAAGCGCAGGGGATTTAAAGAGACCGCTGTCTTGAACTGTTGACTTTCCGAAAACTTTGGACTGCTTCTGCAGGTTTCCTCCCTCGTGTCGATATCCCTGCCATGAACGACTACTCATATGGTCGTTTAAGTGGACCACCTGAAATATTTTCTTCCAGATACCAATTTTCTTTCGGTTTTTTTCTTTAACCAAATAAACAAGGTTTAATCTTTATAGAGCACTTAAAGTTTTTGAAAAAGCTTGAACCGATTTTTCGCACTTGCATTGTAAAAAATCGGTGGCGAAAGCGCTTTAACCACCCCACGTAAGCCACTGCATTATACCCGGATAAGTACAGTCTCTAGTGACTCTCTACCAGGCATGTACAGCTGAACCATTCAGTTTAGGCTTATTTATTTGTTAATTTATTATTGCTTTTATTTCTTCAAAGTTGATCTCTGCACGTTGAAACGAAGTGTTATGACATTACGCACATTTATCGTTTCCGGCAGCCGCACATGTGTGGCTGCATCTTTCTTGGTATAGTGTAGTGTAAAGACGCAACAGTTAACAGTGTCCTGTGTCCGACACAAGAAAATGAAAACCTGGTAAAGCACCCATATCCGTACTAGTCAGCAACAGCTAAGCATCAGCAATGGTCCTGTCACATCGATGTGGAAAAATTTCCGCATTTATGGCGCAGAACTAGAGATGTTTCGACGCCCTTTGGCTTCGCAAGCCATTTCGACGCAGCAATCAGATGGCGCAAATAATAACCACACATACCGAAGTTCCAGACCTGGACAACTATGGAAAATGCAGCCACCGTTAGTGTTACTAGTTACAGAGAGCGCGCAAGTTGCGCTACGAGTTACGCTATTTCATGCAAGTAAAACCGAGTTTTGAGTGAGGTGCACTACCATAGACAATATTAAATCGGTTTACATGTGTGGCTACCTGTTCTGACCAGCTCCCGATGTCCGTAGCATGACTAGACACATTAATTTTATCCGAAGCTGCATATTCTATTTCTCAATTTAAATTTATTTTGGCTCGGCTTCCGTTCGTACGGGAAGGCGTCTAATAAATTTTGACTGCGATCTGGCCGCACAGTGAACTGTTGCTTCTCTCTTCTGGTAATCGCGCTCATAGCTGAACCGTGACCTTGCATCCTTTTCCAACCTGTACAGTCGGTTAAAGAGCAATCGAAGCGCTGGGTAAGCTATTCGAGTTAATGTGGATACTTTAAGAACATCGTTGTAATATATACAATTATTAAGTGAATTACGTTAGAGTAAAGTAAAGTTTTTTGGGGAACGAGTTCACGCTATAGAGTTACGCTAAAACTCGATAACTCGCAACTGCGTTAAGTTGTAGAGTAAGTCGTACGAGTCTCGTGCCCTTGTCTGTATCTTACAAAACATATGCACACCTTGGTTTGAGGAACGGTCAATTGGATGATTTACCTAGTCTTTTTATCAAGAAACAAGGCTGGACATTAACTAAATTAACAGTTTTCCAAAAACTAAAAATTATTCATAATTATTATTACAAAGTCAGAAGAATTTCTTTGTACTCGGCATATATGTGTTAGAAGAATAAGACTTACGATTATCCCTTCATGTCTCTTCTTTCTGAGCGACAGACTGAACCCAATATTGATGTTTGTATCTCATGCGATAGCGCCAAGTATGTAGATTTGCAGAAATCAGCCGATGTAAAAAATGTCTGAGAGGTGACGAAAAATGTTGAAAATCCTAACATAGGAAAGCTATGGAAAAATGCAACAAAGAACAGGCTCTTAGCTACTAGTGCAAAACCGACCAGAAGCTGCCTAAAAACTGAGGACAAAACATAGAAAAAGGGCTTAGAAACCCTTTTCTAAACCCTTTTCTACAATTCTTTCCAGAAGTTCGTAACGGAGTGTTATTATCGGGAAGGGTAGAAACTAAAAACGCGAAGAACTGGCAGAAAGAAATAACGAAGCAAATAAAGTTCTAACAGTTTTGGAGCCGCTCTGAAACAACTGACCGTGAGCTGAGTCTGCTTAATGATTGTTCAGGGAGAACCTTTCTTCGAGACGAGAAAAAAGATATGGTTTGCAGTTTGCTCATTGCATTGCGCCAAATTATTCTGTGTTTTAAAGTAACTCGTTCTGCGGATTCATATTCCTTTCGTTGCAGCAACTTCGAAATCATCGGAGAGAGTGTCGGCAAGTTATAGACGCGTATGACGCTGCAACCAACCGGGATCTTATGAATACCCGGCGAGCATTAAAGACAACGCCGGAAATTTAGACAATATTGACATTCTGGATATCGTCAGAAATTCCGATTTTGGGGAAGAAAAACGGCCCCCGCACGCCTCTTCGCGACTACGAAGCAGAAAGAATTTTCAAAAATCAATTTTAACGGCTAGCACGCCAACAGATAAATTTTATTTCGAGCTGCCGTTGTTCATAAAATTGCCGTGGAGATGTGCTGCATCTGAAACAATCGCAAAGATGTGGATACAAATCACATGGGTTTGCATTCCCGGAGTGCTCACGCCCCTGATGCAGATAAACTCTTGGAATTGTTACGAAAAGGTTCTGAGGATAACCGGTGGTCCGCCCTGAAATAAAAGAAATTTAGGGGATTGTTATTAAGTTTTTGTGCAACCTAATCTATCGCGCATGTAGCGCGTTCCTGAGGAAAACACAACACAAATCATCAGATCATGAACAACGAATTTGTAACGTTTTCAGCATCAATTGTCTTCATTAGTTGTACCGGCTTTACTAGCTTCTGTCGGAAAAAAATGGCGTTCTGGTAAAAACTTACAATTAGAAACTGACTTTGCATTTCATTTCGCATGAGCCTTTTTGAGGCTTGCCGGTTTGCGCATCGCGCACAAGCGATTCTGCCGCTCAGACTTTTGATTTTCCCGAAAAAAACGCGCTGCTTACCACGAAATTAAATAATCGTGTTCATTCAATAATATTTAGAAAATTTCAATGGTCTGATAACAGATAAGCGATAACGTAGTTTTTTGATAGTGCCTTCCTAGCTTCCTTCAAATATACATAGATATCTTGACCGAAGCGATCAGTGCTCTAGGCAACCACTTTCTTCGGAAGGTTCTCTTTAACATACAAGTTTATGGGCGATAGAACTTTTTTCCGAATTTATCAGGAGCATGGACAGGATAAGATTCTTCTGCATACTCACAAGTCACAGAGAACACCTTTTGGGTCACCCAATAATTTTCAAAAACGTTAATACAAAAATATCACTTCCTGAATTTTTTAGAAGGGCAGTTATTAGCCTTCTAAAAATGCCAGCTATCCTCCCCCATTAAGCTCCACTCCGTCCCTATCTGAAACGTTCAAGATCCCGGTTTTATTTTCACTGAATCCGCAGTAAAAAGTTACACAGGTAAAGTTCAAAGCGAATATCAAAACTAGTTGCAGAACTAAATTTATTAATTTTATTTTACGAAAGTGCTATGCGCCCCAAAATTTTAG